AATAATTCTGAGGCTGGAAGATCCTTTCTAATTTTTCAGTAAGACATGAAAGTGCTATTACTTGATAAAAGCATAGGGGACATGTACCAACCTATGATTAGCATCAGGCACATGTCTCATCAAAATCTGTGTCGCTTTGTAGCAAACTTATCATGGTCAGTGTCAACACACCCTTGTTTTACCATCAGCAGACCTGCAAACCTCCCTGTTAAGGTGGAGAGCTGGTATTTTACACTTGCACTTGCCTGACTGAGCAAAACTGTTAGGTATGTACAGACCAGGTCCAGATTCTCTTCCTTTTGATAGTCCGATTGCACAAATTTATACTGAGGAGATTAAACACCTTTGATATCCACAGCCATTGCTCAGTTGTACACTCCTCCTTTATAACTCAATATCCTGCTCCATATTTATCTATATTCCCTGCTGAATGGGAATATGAGAAGATGGCTGCTATACTAAGTTGCATAAAGGTTCTTTTCAATCTTCTCTTTATCAAATATCTCTGTGTTTCCATGCTATGACCTTTTTCTTATAGCTCTGCATTCATATTTATGTCTCTCTGCATTTATTGCCCTCTCAAAATCCTTAAGAAGTGGCACCAGGGAAGATAAACTAAAATAACCTTTATTAATTTAAAATAATATCTGCCAGTTCTACACTGTTGCACATTGTGCTTCTTCCAAAGGCAGCTATGCAATTATAGGTACTTGGGTGCATAAAGTGATACAGAGGTTTCTATGGCAATTATTCATTTTAATTGAAAATTGTGTAGGGAAAGACTCATTTCAAGTGCAGCACACAATTTGCATTTGTTTCCAGAGAATCTGAGCTTCCTTAGGGTGAGTTGTGAATTCCTGTTTTCGGGAAGACACAATCTTTAAAATTCTCTTGGGAGAGCAAGGGGTGGGAGACCAAGGTAAGGTTGTTAAGCTTATTAACATTTAGGAGCATGCATCCACTTATTGAGTACAGTATTTTTTACTGTCTGGTAAAGATTTAATGTTTTAAATGAAAGAGAAAGAATTAAAAATATAATTTATACACATTGCTCTTGAATCTCTGAGGTAGAGGAACCAGAAAAAGACAGAAATACCAAAAAAGGACAGCAAGAAGACAGGTCATCAGTGAAATCAAGTCCACCAGATCAAACATTTCTATTTTCATACATTTTAGCTACTCTGTGTTAGAGTAATAATGAAGACAAAGTTATTTTGGATCTTAATATATTTTAGATTGTCAAAGAAAGATTTGAAGGGAAGCAACAGTACCACCTTGGTTAGATAATAAAGTAATAAAGCTATAACTTAATTTCCTGTAGGAGAATAAGACTTCTTTCTCCTCCATATTCCCATCACCACAATCAATCAAACCTATTTTAGGCCTACATTTACAACAAAAACAAAGTAGATGTACTGCAAGTGATGAAGACCTGGAAAAAAGCTCTGAACTGTGTTTTCACATTCTCTAAATTCAGTGTTATCTTTTCTGAAACAAGACTCTTCTGATTTTTTTTGTCTATATCATTTTAAGGCTGTATAGGCCAAGTGCCAGAAATATCCCAAGTTAAAAATAATTCTTGTCTCTTTCATAAATAATAAATAAATATTAAACTGATGTGAAGGTTGTGGGTGGAAGCGTTCTTTACCAGCCACACAATCCTCCTAACTGAGAAAAACCTGGCCTTAGAAAGAGGTGGCCAAAGCAGTATTTGAGGGGAAGACAAAGAGTAATTTTAATAATGTGGTTTTGGTATTAGTGTGTGGTTTTGCTGGCTCATTGCCCTTCTGTATTTTGGAATATCTAGAACAGAAAAGGAAGACTGACTCCTAACTTCAACGTCAATGATTGCATCACAGCTCAGAAGAATGCAAAATTACATTAATGTGATTTTCATTACATATATGTCATCAATTTTTAATAAACTGGAGACTAATAATTAACCCCTTGTGGAAAGGCACGGGAATTTGAAGGGCACATCTCTTCCAGATGACTGATTCTTTTTTCCTTTTTCACAAGAAGTTCTATTTTGGTCAGAAAATGGCTTTGCAAGACAGGGGAACCAACTTGCTTGAGAAAGAAGCATGAGAACAGAAGGGGACTCACCAAGGAGAATACAGCAGGGGAAAGCTTTTCACTGCATGGACAATTTCCTCTATTTTTGGCACATGTCCTGCCATATGGTGGTGGTCCTAAGGTCAGTGGTTGGACTTGATGATCTTAAAGGCCTTTTCTAACCTTAATTATTAGATATACCAACAGCTCTCACCTCCCTCATATTCTGCTGGACTATCAATCCTCTTTTGACACTTACATGTTTTCCTTCATTTTACTATCTGACTCTCTCATAATTATTAAAACATATAGCTATCAAAAAAAATAAAGGTTTCTTGAATTTGTTTCAATGAAAGAAATGCATTCTCACTCCTACACATGCCATTTGTATAAATAGAAAATAACCTGTTGAGGGGAATTAAAGTTCAAAGTAGGCAAATTTGATTTATTTATTTCTGAACATGGCAACACCCAGAGTTACTCAGCTCTGATGGATATAAAAGGCTGCTGGTGTTGCTGCTGGTCCAAGCTTCTGTTTTCTACACAGGACATAACTCTATAGCTACTCAAGCTTCCATTAATTTTCAGGGTTTGAGAAACACAGCTATTTAAAAGCAATGCCCATGGTGTTGGAAGGATAAGTAAGACCTGAGGTTGGTTTTGGCTAACAATAAGAGACAGGTTTGAATAGACTCTGGCAGAGGCACTGCTGTCAATAAATTAAATGCAATGACTGGTTCTAGCAGAAATCTGCTTTTTTATAGCCGAATTGTATGCCTGGCTGGGAGAAGTGGGAAATGAGGAGAGAAAAAAAGGGGAAGCCTTTAAAGTTTCACTTGCCATCATTTCCTGACAAAACCACTAATAAATATCTCTCTCTCCACTTTGGCTCAATAATGCAAGCATCAAAAGCATGTGAAGGAAATATCTTTTTTACTTATAGGAACCCATACATATACAAACAGGAAAAATTGCCAGTGAAAGCTTCACTTTCAGAAGTGGCAGAACGCTTTCCATGCAGGAATTGGATGTACTGCTCATTCCCCTCAGTGTACTTGAGACTGGAAATATCACACAGAGTGCAAACTGCTGCTAACATAAGAGTTAATATCTCCAACTAAAGGATGTGAAGCTTTTCTTCACCACATGAAGACATTTTCATGTGTAATAGATGCAGAGAAATTCCTCCATAAAATTAATCATCAAATACTCCTTCAAGTCTTGGGACAAGCTAAAAGTTCAATAAAGACTGTGGTCCCTTAAATTTACACACTTATTTCCTGTGGGGGATATAAATTGCTTCTAGTACTTACTACTCTGCATGCAACTCAGATTCTGTTGCTTTAATTAATTATATTAAAGGGTAATACAATCTTCAATTATTTATTGTAAAAGTAGAGATTTTGCTAAAGCACACAGAAAATTCAATTCACACCAAAATGGCTACAATGCTGAAATTAATGTATTTGTAGTCCTCACACGTCTTTCTCAGCATCCTTTAAAATGCCATTTATTCTATAAAAGATATAGATTTTCTGAGTATTGATGAATAAACAGACAAGGTCTCTCTGCTTTTAGTTTTGCAGACATTACTTACCCACCCCAAATCACTGATGATTACAGCTGAAATAAAGGGGTGCATGTGGGCAAAGGTGACAGCACAGGACTTAGAGCTGGAAAGTTTGCACCTCATAAACCTCTCATCTTCAATCCTACATTCAAAAGGTACTTATGATTTCAAAGAAATTGCAAATCAAATGATTACACGCTACAGGAAATTAGATAAAAGAGAAAGGAACCACTTCAACACCATCAAGAGATTCTATTCAGCTATTATATTAATAGTAAAAAAAACATATTTTGATTGCAGCTTCTGCAGGTATAAAATGATAGGTTTTAGATTCTCTTTTATTGAAGTGCACGGATCCACAAAGCCTACAAGGTGTTTTAAACTCTTGTAATCATTCAGCAAAGCATTTGGACAGCAGTTCTTTAATTTTGAGCAGAGTAATAACTGCACTTGTTAAAATATGTTCTAGAGTATGTAGCACCTTTCAAAAGTAATTCAAGCACCAGAATTAAGTATAACTGTTGAACTTTTGTACGACTGAAATCAACACCAAAGCTTTTACATTTTTTAAAGCCAAGCAATGAATTTATTACTCCTCATTTTAATTTCTTTAGAGAATCTACTGCAATCTTTATGTTAATGTTCTATTATGTAAAATGCAATGCTTATTCAGTTCAAACTGATGTCTACAAATATGTACCACTGTAAAATAATGCCCACATCTTTGTAAGGAATGGATATTTTCTGGTCTTTTTTTTTCTTCTCTAATTTAACAAAAATGTAAAATATCTGTGCTTGTAAACATTGGCAAAATCAGGACACAAAATCCAAGCATTTTTATTAGCTGTTAAGAACAGCTACCACAGCAACAGTGCATTGCACCAACAACCAGAGTGCTGTACACTAGTGGCAAACTGTGGGATTACGTATTTAAATGTAAAGATATACAGAATATATGTTTATGCATACACACTAATAAAAACGAGTCACAGGTTTTATGGGCCACTGCCTCTCTTGCCACTCATAAATGCGCTTCCAAGATTTTTTGCAGCAATGTTTTCCAAATTATTTTACAATACGACCTTGAAATCCTATTATTTTTATTTAATATTTTAAATATAATATAATGGGCAAGACAGTATGTAAATGAACCTCAGTAAATAAATAAATAAATAAATTTATTATTATTATTATTATTATTATTATTATTATTATTATTATTATTATTATTATTATTATTATTATTATTATGGAAGACATCTATTCCTAAAATATATTGGAAATACATTCACATCAGAGTATTAAAGAGAAATGGTTTTAAACATTTATTTCTTATAAAAACCAGTGCAGAAGCTTGAGTTCAGAAACAACTTACCTTTTTTGTCATCGAAGTACAGTGTCTGTTGAGCTGGATTTGACCACTGGAGGGAGGTGTTATCATTTTGATCGACCCTGCAGGTCAAATTTGCTGTTCCCCCTTCAACAACTGTGACGTTCTGTGTGAGTGGGAACTGCCCTTGGCTGCCTGAGGAGGGAGGGAAGGGATGCAGAAAGGAAAAGAATAAGAGAAAAAAAGAGAAAATATTTAAATGGAAGAATTGAGTTTATTGCAGCAGCTTCCCACAAATGATAGACCCGGAATTCAAAGTGATCTAGTCTGACCAGAGAAAGGTAGTACAATAAATTTTCAAAAACTGCATTTATAATTTATTCCCTGTATCTGAGAAACAGCTAGATGAATTCAGAAATAAGTGTTTCCCCTCTCTTTTTCCCCCTCTGTAAGTCATACTATTTAGTTCCATAGAAATACTCTGCAGTTTTGTCTCCTCAGACATACCAAAGACAACTCAGCGCAGGCAATGCAGTTAAACCATTGCTGAAAACATCACTGAAAGCAGAACATAAAAATCCACAGAGTTTTTAGCACAGAGGGATGGGGCAACCTTGACTCCCTGTTTCTTTTTTATACATTTTAAAGGCCTCTCAGGATGATGCTTTCTGTGTCAAGCTCGGAAAGTTGTTGGAGAGCAAACGTAGTGTGAATCTAACACTTGATGCATGTGCTGTTGGGGGAATATAACCTGATCTCATATGAAAATGGAAGGGATGATGTAGTAGGTCGCTTTCACATCTGTGATTCTATCCCAGAGCATTATGAATCACATTAAGTGCTTGCTGAAAAGTCACTGGGAAGGTTTCCAAATGCCTCTACAGAATGCAGGAGCAGCAGCAGTCAGGTTCTCGAGTCAGAGGCATTTTCAGCGGCACAGTAAGGCTAAAGTGTTTATGTAGTGTGAGGATAGCACACCCCTTGTCAAACAGCACAACACATCCTGACAAACAGGACTGCAAGAAGGGAGTACAGAAAAAAACATGGAAGTGTTTTTTAACATGAGTGGGGAAAGAAAAAAATCTTCAGTAATAAGTAAGACACATCACTGAACATATGATTATCATCTGGGAGATATATTATATTTAAGGGTACACTGCAAAAGAAAGAAAACGTAATACTCCAAATGAAATATAAGCTTCTTTCTTCTCCTCCTTTTATACAGATTCTATTAAAAGAAGCACTGAAGAGTAGGTAGAGGTGCTTGCATAAGAAGTATAATGCCAAGATTGACACCAAAGTGGGATGTGTCAGAAATTAAAAACCTCTCCACAGTCCTACAGGAGGGAACGAGCTCACAGACGTGTCACAAGCACATCAAGGAAATAATATATACAATATCCATTAATGATACAACACAGAATCACAAATCCAGCATAAAACCTTCAGAGAAACATCCTATTTTAGTGGCTCTCATCAGACTTGTTCCCAACTAAGTTAAACTGAGGCATGTCTTCTATGCAAAAGCACGATAATATGAAAATCTGTTCTCTAGGATTTTTGATTTGCAGATGACCAGAGTAAGGAAGTATTAAATAAAAGGTTAAAAACTGAATTTCTATTTGACCTCCTGATGTTGCCAAAACATATTTCTAGCCAGATTTTGATTTCCCTATGTAAAATAATCCAAATGGCCTTAGACATGGAACAAAATCACCCACATCAGTGAAATAAATAAAATATTTCCACCAAATTGCAGAGCTGAATAACTGGTATAATTTTTCTATAAATATCAACTACAGCTGTCTAAAGATCAAGATTTACCATGAACTGGTATTTACTCTAAGAGGGTATTTACTATCAACAGGATAACAGATATAGTAAATTAAAAAGAAGGAATACTAAAAATACCATAGCTAATTTAAATGCTGCAAATAATAAATGCCAAAATTCTCATGACATCCTCTGCATCTGACACTTCATTAATCAAACTCTGCTTCTTGAAAACCACACATTGAGAAATATATGACGAGACAAAAATCATAAACAAGGATAGAAATAAAAAAAAGATTTGTCATTTCCTTCCATTTCTCCTCTTTCAATTCCAATGTGTCAAGGAACCTCAAGATACTGCATAAATTGCTTACCATTTAAATTAGAATTTTTTAAATCCAGAAAAATGCACACAGCCTGTTATTACTTCCACAAAATTACAAGGCACTTACCAAAGAAATAACCTTCTAAAGTATGATCTGTGAATGGGAGGCTATGTGGGCTGGAACACTTTTTGCCTACAAGAAGCATTAGCCAGAACCTAGTGCCAGAGATTAGCACAGTGAAATCTGCCACTTGCATTAAAGCATTGGAATGGGAGGTAGTTTAATAAAGAACCTGCTGTAATGATTTAGGACCAAATTAACACAGTCTAGGAGATCTCCCCATAATTACTCTGTATTCTGTGTCTGATATTACAGCTCTTATCATGAAGGTGTCAGTGTACATGCACTCCATCATTTATTAAGGATTGCCAAGTTACAGACTCATCTCTGGTCAGGAACTAAACTATTCTGATCAACCATATAAATGGAAACTATAAATGCCATAACCTGAATAGGTCAGAAGAATTTTCTTTCCTCTGGCCACCCTAGTGGTTGCTGATGATTTGGAAACAAGAATTAATTTAGAATATAAAAATAAGACAAAAACACTCATCTCTTGCCAACAGAGAATCTTTAAGGTTCTGGGGAAGATGCACAGAGCTTCAGGGGAAGTTTGGACTGGAGAAAAGGTAGAGGGAACATGAGAGAAGATTTAATATGGAAAGTAGCCTGAGTAGAGAGAAGGAAGCCTTTGCAGGACGAAGAAAACTATGTAAAGCAAGTCCAAATGAATGGGTACTGCACACCTCTGAATGAAGACAAAAAATTATTAGCAAGTGATGAGAAAACTAAGACAAAGAAAAACTTATGGGATTTATTTTACTGTTTGCATCTAACTTGGGATACTGAAGTAGGGCTGGAAGGATGGGAGAAGGTTGTAAAGCCCTATATGAAACAGGTGAATACTAAAGAAAGCATCAGCACCTGAATCATTTACACTGCAGTAAAAGTGCCAAATAAGTGGTTTATGCCACTAAAGATTCCTTCTGGTTCTTGAGGATCTGACAATATTTTGTGAGAGAGGCCTTGTTTCTGTTAATGTCCTCTAACAAAAGCATTCCATCTTCACTTAACAAGTCCAGTAATGGAAAGTTTAGTGGCCTCTTCAGTAACTTATTTCGGAGAGCAACAGTCATCCCTGTTCAAACAAAACCACAAAATTTACTCCTGCTCTGAATTTGTCTCACTGTAGCACCCAGCTTCCACTGCCTCTTGTACCTTTTCCCCTGCTCTGAACAGCCCTCTCTTATCAAATTTCTCTTGTAGGCACTTAGAGACTGTGATCATATCACCCGTAAACCTTCTTTTTCATAATCTAAATAAATTGAGCTCCTAAGTCTATCTGCAGAAATCACATTTTTCTAATCCTTTAATTAGTCTGTGGCTCTTCTCTGTGCCCTCTGCCATGTGTCCTTTCTGAAGTGTTCAGCCCAGACCTGGAAGCCCTGCAGTCACAGAAGGCAGAAATACGAAGGTGATGCCACTTCTCTGCCAGTTTTTGGTATTCTTGTTTGCACACTTACAAGAGTCCCTTAAAAGGACCAGGGTCAGAGCCAGGTGTGACTGAAGGCTTACCATGGGGCTGGTATTTTTCCTCAGACATCCTTCCAGTCCTCCTCCTGTAGCTCCTGTTTATACATCCCTATATTTCACTGCACTGAACACATTTAGGTAAGTTCAGTACAATTTATTTCCTATTTTCCTATTAACTGAGGTGATTGACAGGTATAATTGAGATAATGATTATGACTCAGATGCTGACCATCCTACAGACAGGGCTACCCATTCAGCCTACTTGCTTTCCTCCCAACAAAAGGCTGGGAATAAATGACATTTCTAACCTCCACCAGCAGGTCAAGTCAGTCAAACACAGTCAAAAACACACACACACACACACACATGTATATATATATATGTATCCACTACAATATATATAATTACATTCTGTTCCAAAATCAAATCTAGAGGGAGGACAAATTATTTTACTGACTGTATGGAGTACACTAATAAAGAGTTAAAAAAGGAAAAAATAATACTGATGGCCCACATTATTAACCCCCTTGAATCTGAAAAGGAAAACATTACAAGGTTATGCAAAGGTAAATTACAACAAGCAATGATTTACTGAAGAAAGGCGGCTGCATCAAGACATCATTGCCATCATGTCGTATCCCAGCCCCTCTACTCATTTAGAAGCTTTGTTAGCAATATTATTTCAACTTTTTGGACTAGATGGAGCTATGGTTAAGTATATTCTACCACAGTTTGTTTCTGCAATGCTTTGTGGAGGACCAATGCTCATATCTCATTAGCCACAAGCTGTTTCCTGTCAAGAAAGACTTTTTTTTCTTCTTTTTCCCACCCAGAAATCATGGCTAAACTGTTTTTACATATAACAGTGATTTTTATCTCAGTATGTAACAAGTCTGTGTAGAATAATTATCATTATTTGGTCCAGTTTGTAATCATTCATCATGTGAGTTCATCTCATGGTTTTTTGTTTATGTTTGGGTTAGGTTTTTTGCTTGATTTTGTGGCTTTGCTTTTGGTTTTTGTTTTGTTGGGGGGGTGATTTTTTTTTTTTTTTTTACTTTTTGCAATTACAATGTAAGCTCTTTAATGAGTTCAACACTTCCACTTGATGCTTAGGTGATACATTCTAATCAATTTACCAGGCTAATTATAAATGTGACTGGGTGGCTGTAAGCACTGAGAAAACATAATCTTCTCTTTACTTTTGTTTCTACAAAGGTCTCTTTTTGTAAATCAAACAGTTATGTCACAAATTAAGAGCATTTCATAGTATCAGGGCAGCAAGCTTTCCCTACTAATGTCACTGAGTATCAGAAAACCACAAAAATAAATGGTTTTGGGTAGAGGGGATGGTCTGGAAAGGAGCTGAGAGGGACAACAGTGAATTATCAATGTTTTGCCACACTGGATCTACATTTGAGAGCCTGGCTGACCATCATCCTCACGAGATAAATTAAGTTTATCAGCATGTAAGAGGGGAAAAGGTAGGGTCAACAGTTCTGT